ACACACACACACACACACACACACTGGACAGGACACCAGTCCATCACAGGCTCCTACATCCCTGTTTCAGGCTTGCTTTATCAGGATCATGGCCAGCGGTGTGTGCCTGACCTAGCCCATGTTATTCCTGTGGTAGTTCATAAAAAACGCCCCAATTTCACAGATCGCTGGACTTCGATCCCTGTAACACCCGACCCTCGCTATTGAGTCAGTGCTGACATTGGGCCTGATATCGGAAATAAGAGCCGGCAAAAATCACTGCAGTCATATGACTTATTTTGTGAAGCTGAAAGTCCGTTTGGTACTAGTTACGATTCCCTGCTGCTCTCGGTGACCTGTTACACTACCCCAGCTGCGAGTTTCACATACAACCGCATGAGTTTCGCCCCATCTACTAAAGCGAGACGCGTCGACAGCTATCGTGCGGATAAACTTCAGTCTGCTCTAATGATTTATAACGATGTGATGTCACGCAGTTACATGATGTCCTCCACCCTGTAACACAGGAAAAGCCTGAACTGCTGTTTGCAGCACTGCGTCAATAAAACTGTATCGCCTTCCTGAGCGTTGAGATAAAATGGACATTTTCCCCGGGAATTGCATTTTGGACTTTCGGAAACCTTCACACTGAATCGTGTTTTACAGTGAACGTGTCTTTTATAGCTGCAAGACTAGAGTCCTTATAACTGCAGCCACATGCTCCTCCTGTCTGTGGGAGATAAGAGACACACTGCTGGGTTAACTGGCTTGTGGGGAAAATTGGACCTGGTCTGATTGAGAGTATTCGTGTCCGTCTCTGTCCTGTGATGCTCTGGTGTCCTGTACAGGGTGTGTGATTGTGTCCTGTGATGGACTGGTGTCCTGTCCAGGGTGTGTGAGTGTGTGTGTCCTGTGATGGACTTGTGTCCTGTCCACGGTGTGTGAGTGTGTGTGTGTCCTGTGATGGACTAGTGTCCTGTCCAGGGTGTGTGAGTGTGTCCTGTGATGGACTAGTGTCCTGTCCAGGGTGTGTGAGTGTGTCCTGTGGTGGACTAGTGTCCTGTCCAGGGTGTGTGAGAGTGTGAGAGTGTCCTGTGATGG